GCCCCCCTCGCCCTCCCTTCCCTTCACCCCCCTCGTCCCCCCTTCCCATCCCCTCTCTTCCATCCCTGCCTCCCCCCCCTGGACCCCCGAACGTTTTTTTTTTATCCCCGGGACTTACTACCACCGGACCCCCCCACCCATGAGCTAACCCTACACGTGGACTCGAAACACAAACATTTCTTAACAAGAGTTTTGAGACGGATTTGATAGGTCCGAAACTTTAGTTTTTTTCCAGAAATCTCCTCCCCTCACTTTCCACCCCCTCCCTCTCCCTCGCTCCGACAACGACCCCTCCGAAGACGACCATCCTATTTCTCAGGTGTCTTGCTCCTCTCACCCTACGTGGTACAATATATGCGGTGCTGTGTATGTGGTGCTGCCTATGTGGTGACTCTGCATGGTGGCCTCTACTTGGCGCAGTCTACGTGGCGCATTTTTATGTGGCGACTACGACTACGAGCACGACTAGTTACGACGACGGCGACAACAACAACAACAACAACAACAACAACTACTACTACTACTACTACTACTACTACTACTACTACTACTACTACTACTACTACTACTACTACTACTACTACTACTACTACTACTACTACTACTACTACTACTACTACTACTACTACTACTACTACTACTACTACTACTACTACTACTTACTACTATATACTACTACTACTGCTACTGCTACTGCTACTACACTACTGCTACGACGACTACTACTACTACTACTACTACTACTACTACTACTACTACTACTACTACTACTACTACTACTACTACTACTACTACGACTACGACTACTACTACTACGACTACTACTACTACTACTACCGACTACTACTACGACGTACTACTACTACTACTACTACTACTACTACTACTACTACTACTACTACTACTACTACTACTACTACTACTACTACTACTACTACTCCTATCCTTATTCCTTATTAGAATATACTCCTACTCCCCCCTCAGGCCGGCAGATAGCGGGCGCATCCGGGTGGTCCCATCCTAACCTGCAAAAAAACAATACAAAATCAACATTTTTCATATTTTTTCCTCTCGACATGGACGTCCTGTCGTCCACGGCGATAATCCATTGCAAAAAATACCACAAAAAGCACACGCGCGCGTTCATGTCAGAATCCTACCGAACACCGTGTGTTTGCAAGCATTTCAACATAAAAACATCAAAAACCCAATGCTTTTTTCACAAAAATTGTACAAATTTCCCGCCCGGGCTCTCTTGCTGAAATCATAGGAAAACCATAGGAATCTTAAGAATTCGGTCAAATCCAGCGATTTCACGTCATCGCGCGGTGCACTCGCGATGCTCTGTCATGCACCCAGGCCGCGAATCCTGTGCAAAAAATACCACAAAGAGCACACTCGCGCGTTCATGTCAGAATCCTACCGAACACCGTGTGTTTGCAAGCATTTCAACATAAAAACATCAAAAACCCAATGCTTTTTCACAAAAATGCTTTGGGGTGTCCTGTCAGACCGTCGGGCTTCCTCCGGCCACCTCTGGCTTCCTGCGGTGTACCGGGCCATTCTCGACTCGTCTGGCAATGCGTGCGCGGCATTCAACACGCGCTCGCCAGTTCCCGTCGGCAACCGCCATCGCGGCCGCATCAGCTGTACCAAACCGGCTGGCCGGTGTGACTTCGGCCCCCAGTTGTGCCAGCTTTGCTTCTTATGTTGTGGGAGGGCGGGTGGGACTGGGCATGCCATGCTTGACTCGCTCGAGCTGGCTAGCTTGACTCCTACTCCTACTCCTATTCTTCGACTCATATTCTTTCCCTACTCCTACTCCTATCCTTATTCCTTATTAGAATATACTCCTACTCCCCCCTCAGGCCGGCAGATAGGGGCCGCATCCGGGTGGTCCCATCCTAACCTGTAAAAAAAAATACAAAATCAACATTTTTCTTATTTTTTCCTCTCGACATGGACGTCCTGTCGTCCACGGCGATAATCCATTGCAAAAAATACCACAAAGAGCACACGCGCGCGTTCATGTCAGAATCCTACCGAACACCGTGTGTTTGCAAGCATTTCAACATAAAAGCATCAAAAACCCAATGTTTTTTCTCAAAAATTGTACAAATTTCCCGCCCGGGCTCTCTTGCTGAAATCATAGGAAAACCATAGGAATCTTAAGAATTCGGTCAAATCCAGCGATTTCGCGTCATCGCGCGGTGCACTCGCGATGCTCTGTCATGCACCCAGGCCGAGAATCCTGTGCAAAAAATACGACAAAGAGCACACTCGCGCGTTCATGTCAGAATCCTACCGAACACCGTGTGTTTGCAAGCATTTCAACATAAAAACATCAAAAACCCAATGCTTTTTCACAAAATGCTTTGGGGTGTCCTGTCAGACCGTCGGGCTTCCTCCGGCCACCTCTGGCTTCCTGCGGTGTACCGGGCCATTCTCGACTCGTCTGGCAATGCGTGCGCGGCATTCAACACGCGATCGCCAGTTCCCGTCGGCAACCGCCATCGCGGCCGCATCAGCTGTACCAAACCGGCTGGCCGGTGTGACTTCGGCACCCAGTTGTGCCAGCTTTGCTTCTTATGTTGTGGGAGGGCGGGT